TGTCGTGCCGGTTACCCAGAAGTACTTGTGGAGCTATCTCGTGCAGCTGTCGAACGCGTTGAACGAGGTCCACCGCCACGGCCTTTCGATAAACAACATAAATCTGGACAAGGTCATAGTCACCGGCGATCCCGGGCGTATCAAGGTCGGCGATTCCGCCGTCCACGACATTTTGGCGTTTGACGAAAATCGCGACATCGCCGAGGAGCAACAGGCTGACTACAGCGCCATCGGCATGTTGCTCATGGACCTCACTCAGCGCATGTTGGGCACCAAAGACCAGCCACTGGATAGCATGGATATCGATCCCCTGTTCAAGAAGGTGCTCGGGTACCTTTTGTCCGACGAGAAGAAGACCATCGCCGAGTTCACAGCCCTGTTCAGCCATAAAATGCTCGACATAATCAGTTCATCGCAGACCTACTCGGAGTATATCGAGCAGCATTTGTCCCGCGAGTTAGAGAATGGCAGGCTCTTCAGACTGATGTGCAAGTTGAATTTTATCTTTGGCAGGATGGAATCAAGTATGGACATCCATTGGTCTGAAGCGGGGGACAAGTTTCCCATCATTCTATTCTACGATTATGTGTTCCACCAGGTGGACGAGAACGGTAAATCCGTCATGGACCTCACCCATGTGCTCCGGTGCCTGAACAAACTCGACACCGGGGTATCAGAGAAGATAATCTTGGTGACACCAGACGAGATGAACTGCATTATCATTAGCTACAAGGAGCTGAAGGATTCTATCGACTCGACATTTAGATCAATGACACAGTAGTTACAATATGCTTGTAAATTATAGACAAAAGTGCACTAGTCGTGATATATAACTCATCCGTCCGACAGCCGCACATGGTTAGCGAATGCTCTTGTCCAACGGCAAAAAATATGCGCAAGCCCGGAATCGAACCGGGGGCCCATCGATGGCAACGATGGATTTTACCACTAAACCACTTGCGCTTGTTGTTGAAAAAAGGATCTCTCTACCTATCACATTCGATACTTATACTGATGTCACTGTATACGTATATGATCAGGTCTTGGGCGTATCTGAATGGTCTTGAACAACGGACTAGAGCAATGGAGCCATACAGTCAGAGGCGGCTTGGGCAGGAATGCAGCTTATCCGGGAGCGGCTGTTGGAGCTATATAACACGAGGCACTATGCTGTACTCCCCCCAGACGAGACAGTAAGACTGCAGCGAGAGCTGACAGCGTACCTGAACACGGCAGATCCGGGGCTCAGTGAAGTGGACCGGATGGCACTGGCGGAGATGAACTTCTATTTGCTGGTATACATTGGCGAAGATATAGAAGCCGACGTGCTTTACCGTACTCTCGCTGCACGTATTGGCGAGAACTCGCCTCGGATGCACCTCATGAAGGCTACGTTACTGCAGATTACAGAGGGCGATCCCGTGGCTGCGAAGTACCTGAAGACCCTGCTCGAAAAGCAACTGGAATACGATACAGACTCTATGGATTATTTGCAAGTGAGTAAAAAGCTGATTGCGCTGGAACGGCCCACATTATCCACTGAATTGTGGATGAAGAAGTTACTGTCACTTCTGGAAAAGGTCCCATTGGACGCTGAACTATGGTGGACGCTTGCCATGGAATACTACAAGTTGGGGCAGTTTGATCAGGCTATTTACTGTTTTGAAGAGGTGTTGTTAATCTCACCGTTGGCTTACTCCGCGTTTGCGCAGTTGGCAGAAGTGCTCTACTGTAAAGCCATGCGCGAAAAGCCGGTGTCTACGGATTTATTGCAAGAGGCCCTGGAAAATGCGCTGCGGGCGGTAGAACTCTCCTCGAACTGCATAAAGGGGTGGTCCTTTGTCGGGAAGATCAGTTCGGTGCTGGAAAAACAGAGGCTACTTGCCCTTGCCTTGACGAAGTTACGCGAAATTGAAAACAGCAGCAACCAGCAAGATAGCAAAACAGCTAAATACATTCTCAAGTCATTGGAATAAGCTCTAAAACTACCGATACGTATATTTACTGCGCGAACGTTTATATACATATATCTAGGCGTGCGTATGGGTGTTGTATGTGTACATCTTAACCAAATAACTCCACTATAGCTGTAGTACATGGCATTCCCTTGTAAGCAACTTCAAATTTTGGACAACCCAATTACTGTCGCGCATCCCAGCCTTTGGATCGTGGCCCTGGGTTGATCTGAGCTTCGCGAACACCGATTTGTAGTCGCTCTCATACTGCTTGAATTCACGGATGACGCGGTTAGAGTCAAACTCTACATACACGCGTGTATCGACGATCCTGAATAGAACATCATCCACACGCAAGAAGAAGCGACTCAAAATCAGCATACACTCGTTCATCACCCTCACCTTCACATTAAGAATACTAATGCCATTATCTGCAAGTTCGTCTTCAAATAAAATCATGTCGTCGTAGAAAAGAATGGGGTCCGGCCTGGAAAGCTTCTCCAGAGGTAGTTCCACGCTATCATCTCTGACCATCTCCCTGCCAACTACGGTGCCTTTGTAGAGCGTCGTGTACGTCCAGTCGTACTGGTGGGTTATGTTCAGGGAGGTGTCCTCCAGCTCCTGGGTTTCCTTCTGTTTCTCTCTCTTGCTGTGGATCCATTTGTGTGCATATGAGACTCGAATCCCACAGTCCTCTAGCTTGACCTGCCGTAGAGCATCCAGCGCGTTGAATTCGAGCGCCCAGTCCTCTTTCTTATTCTCGACGCGTACAAAGCTATTACCAAATATCATTTCGGGCAGTGTTAGCCCGGCCAGCAGCACGTCCCAGTCGTCCAATTCCTGCGAATTCAGGATCGGCTTCTTGCGCGTGGTCACTGTCCAGTCTAGGATGGAGATCGAGGGCGTGTCTTCGAGTGGCAGCGTCGCCTTGGGCGCCGGGATGATCACAGTCCCGCACTGCGCGCAAGGCGGGTTGTTGGGATTGTTGCACCTGTGCCGGCCATCCACAGCAACTTCCTCGCGTCTCTCGACCTCAGCTCTTCTAACCGTACCTGGCATGTTTCTCGCCTCCTTGGGTAACGCAAATGCCTGCATTGAAGGGCCCTCAGTCGCAGTCTTCGTCACAGTCTCTCTCGCCGATGGTGGGCGCCGTGCCTGCACCGTCTTGAAGTGCAGCTCGCGCGCGCCATTGACCTCAATAGCCCTTATACCTCTGCCCTGGTCGGTACGTTTCATTCTTACTGCGCGCCCTGCTGGATTCTCCGTAGGGGTGTACAACTCATCAGGCTCGGCTGAGCAAGAATTAAGATTTGAGCGAGTAAAACGTCGGAAGGGATAATAAGAAATAGCAGATGCCTAACCAGCAATAACTAGCTAGAACGACACCGAACGCAGAATAATGAAGGTACATAGGCAGAAAGTGTTAAGCATCTTGGCTGCTGCTGCCATTGTTGGCCTGTGGTATATGTTTTTCGGTCAGCAGCTTTCAAACCAAGAATCATATGACCCTGATGTCGTCTCACATCAGGAGGTTAAAGAGCCAGTATCTGGTAAGGCCAGCTCAGCCAAGCTGCAAGCTCCGGAACTAAAGAATAGCATAATGCCGGGAATGCCAGACGTGACTGCGAAGCAGGAACTGGGCCGGGCGACGTGGAAGCTGTTTCACACGATGCTTGCTCGCTTTCCAGATGAGCCATCCGAGGCGGAGCGGCAGAAGCTGGACACATTCCTGCACCTGCTCGCGGAGCTGTACCCGTGTGGCGAGTGCTCTGTGCACTTTGTGAGCTGGTTAAAAAAGCTGCCTCCGCAGACGTCCAGCAGGACTGCCGCGGCCATGTGGGGGTGCACGATCCACAATAAAGTAAACCAGTTCCTGGGAAAGTCCATCTATGACTGTTCCAAGGTCCTCGAGGATTACGACTGCGGCTGCAGCGATGACGCGGCGGCGGACAGCCTGAAGGTGTCTGTCCAGACAGAGCGCCCGCAGGGCGGATAGCGGACGAGCACATTCTCCAAAAAGTTCCCTTCCACCTTGCGTATATTGACACTAGTCTATGCAGGTCTACATAATGCAGCAGCAACCACCTTGCTGGCCGCTGCGGGGTCGTGTCTGTTTGGCCGACACGCGAAAATGGTTCTCCCCCGGCTTCATATATCCCCAGACCTCGGGCACCGCATAATCTTTGTTCGTGGACGTGTAGTCTATGATGCTCAAGCACGCATTGGACGCAGTAATCCTCTCACGGGCCAGCTCCTTTTTGAGCTTGTTATTCAGCTCTTCCGTCCGTTTCAGCTTTAGGTATTGTATTCTGGGGGGAAGCCGCTGCTCCGACATCATCCTAAGTCACTTCTGAGATTCTAATTCTGCTAGCACACCACTGGTCGGCACCGTGGCCTATATAAATGGTGCGTGCAGCCTCCGACCTATGTAGCCATGTTAATCTTTACATCAAGCCCGACAGGCACCAGGACAATGCACGATTAGCGGTTCCTCGGTCGAGCCCCTGTCCGAGTCAGCCGTTGCAGGCGCACATCCGGACAGAGAGCTGCGCATGAACCGTTACCCGGCGTTTCGGCTTTCGATGCGTATTAGATGCGCGTTGTCTTCGGCAAAACAGTTTTCCCCACAGCAGCACCACCACCAACACAATGGAACATCCCTCTTTCTCTCTCGCCGCGCTCACCCTCATCGGTGGCTCGATGGGCTACTGGCGCAAAGGCTCTGTGCCATCATTGGCTGCAGGCCTTGTCTTTGGTAGCACTTACGCTTTTGCCGGCTACTTGCTCAAGAAGAACGCTGAGGGCGGCCTCGAGATTGCGCTCGGCGCAAGCTCCGTGATGCTGTTGACCGGCCTCATCAGAGGTGTGCCATCGCGTTTCTCCAAGCCAGTTCCGCTCGTGCTCACCGTCCTTGGTGGCCTCGGCACAGCCTACTACTACGGGAAGTACCGCGAGTTCTACCCATAGGTTTAGCTATCTCGTTTATCTAAATAGCAATAAACACCAGCGCCCCGCCGGACGCTGCGCAAGCGCGAAAAAAAATAACGACATCAGCAGGATTCGAACCTGCGCGGGCAGAGCCCAAGAGATCCCTCAATTTAGTTCGAGTCTCACGCCTTAACCTCTCGGCCATAATGTCATATACCACGTAGCGCGCCGCCAGCAGGCCAAGGCGCCCAGTATCCTGCACGTGACAACGCACATCGCACGTGCCAGACACATTAATAGACACATTAATAATCGATGTAGGCTATCGATCAGGGTCCATCAACCAGTCAAATCATAACTCATTTTATTCTGCTATACAGTCATTACATAGCCGTCACTTCCGGCGCCGGCGTCAGCAGCCGTGGCGGCAGCGGCTCGCTCACGCTGCCATTGCGCGAAATGGGCGAAAGGGAAGGGATCACGAACGGTTCCGTTGCATCGGAGGTCAAAACTAGAAAAGCCATTGGCCTCTTCGAAGATGTGTGCTGTAGGCAGCTTGCCCGCGCTTATATACCATCGCAGCTGCTGCTCGCAGTCATGCCGAGCATGATCTCTCTGTCCCCTGGGCGGTCGGCGGTCACGGAGGGGCGCGCGGGCTTTAAAGGCCGCGCTCAGCCGCGGGCTCGCTGCGCACGAGTCTAGGGAAGGGTTCTGTCCTGCTTACGACAAGTACCCGGTTCCCGTGTGACAAATAACCCTTCACATGGCCCCTCGCGATGAGATTGGCCAGAAGGCACTCCGTATGATCCAGTAAGCGCTCGCCATTACCGTCCGACGGGGCGGACGTTGAGTAAGCCAGTGCCGTAGCGATAAGGCGGATCGGGAGCTGTGATGAGCCACCGGTAAACCGCCAAACGACCTTAACTAGCCGCAGCAGTATGTACGGGCGCAGATGGCTTAGCGGTAGGTACAGCCCACGTCTGAGTAGCGGCAACTGCATACGTACAAGCTCCCTGTCGTACAGGCCAAGGTTCCCAGAGCGCAGCGCAGTAACCAGGTCGGCGTAGTGGACCCCCGCGGGGTGCTGGGGCGGCGGCCAGGCGGCGATCACGTGATGTTTGGGGTACCAGCGGCGCGCCAGAAACGCCACCGGCACCAGGTACGTCAAAATAAGCTGGTGATGGCGCTTGTGGTCGCGGTGGCAGGTGAGCAGTGCGGTGTTGAGCCAGCGGAAGCCCTTCTCGTAGTCTGCGCGGCGGCAGGCGTGGTAACGGCCGAGGTAGTAGCAGTACGTGACGGTGAGCGCGCGGCGTTCGCCGAAGGCGAGATCCACCGGCGGCAGGTCCTGCGCGCGCGACTCCAGCACCTTGACCATGTTGGTCACAAGGCTGTGGGCGCCAAGGCGGGCGTACGTGCGGAAGAGGAGCAGTGCGAAGTAGTAGGCGCCGTGGCGCTTGTTGGACGCTGCGGGGTCGCGGTCCTTGAGACACAGGTTCAGCGACATGTGCACGGCGCGCCCGCACTGCGTGAGGTGGTCCTCAGTCGCGAGGTCGCCGCACTGAGCGGTCGTGGCCGTGCGCTTTGTGCGCGCGTCCAGCGCGACCGCCATCTGCACCAGTTGGCGCGCACACGTGTACAACGGGTACACCACCCAACCCGATTCCCACTCCGCGATACGGTTCAGCGCCTTGAGCTGCGTGAGCGCCAATTCAAACGCCTCCGGTGAGGGGCCGCGCGTGCGACGATACTCGGTCTTCAGTGCGGCAGTCGTGCGCACGAAGTGCGCCAGCTTCTCATCCGATGGCTGCGCGTAGGCATCGCCCGCCGCGGGCACATCCGCTGCGATGAACTCCAGCAGGTGTGTAGTGCAGCGTTTGAGCTGGAAGCAGGAGGTTACGGCCTGCATTATCTTGCGTTGTGTACTTTGGCGGCTGCTCCTGGTCTTCGAACAGGTGCGAGCAGTTTTTCAATCTTGTCTTGGACAGCAGGCCCATGGATGGTAAGTACTTTCTGGCCCCTGGGAACCACAGGGATATTTGAAAGGTCTTTCGAAAGCCACGAGTCGTTTCCAGTGTGTCTAATATCGCTACCATGAGGCCATCGGAGCTTTCCGACGCGGACGCAGATACAGGTAAGGTTTCCGATAGATCGACAGATGATGCACCTGACAGCTTGCGGTACCAGATCTCAGCGAAGCAGCGGCACATTGCAGAACTCGAATTCCAGCTGCAGCATGCACAGGAGGAGCTTCGTGAGCTGCAGCTGAGAGCATCCGGCAAGACGGAGGGCACGCCGTCCAATGAGTTTGCTAGGCTTCTGCACAAGAAAATGCAAGAGGTAAACCAGAGCCCAGCCGTACGGCGGAGCAAAGAGTCTATCGGGAACTTCTTGCAGGAGGTGCAGGGTGGTTCCGGCCCGTTTGTCGGCGGTGGGGCGTTGAAGACGCGCCTGCAGTCTTTGAAGCCGAGCGGCGCTGCCGAGAAGAGCCTGCGCGCTCCTGTGGCAGAGACCACAGGAGCCGGTGGCTTCTTCGGGATGTTGAAGGACAAGCTGCAAGAGCTGGCACTAAATGAGGAGGAGGAGAGCGAGTTCGACCGCGAGATGACCTCTGACAATTTCTATCTAAAGGACAAGCTGGACTACGACTCCGAAGAGGAAGTACTATCAGAGGAAGTCGATAATAACTTCACCGGGACTAAGTACCCGCTAAAGACATCCAACAAGCATACGTAGGCTGGGCGAGTAAGGTAGATACCTACTTAGGGAGCACCAACAGCTTATATACGGACCATCGTGTGCACTTTATAGGTAATTACATTTTTACATGCTTTTTCATTTGAACGTGTTGGCCACGAATGCCTGCGTGGTTTTCAGTGCCTCGTACTTCACCTTGAAGTTAGGGTGGTTTAACAATTCCATGATTATGACCTTCGCATTAAGCTTTCCGAGGATATCCACACACTCTGGCTGTAGCTCCACTATATGGGTAATGTCGTTAAGAACTACCTGCAACGCGACGTTGTCGCTGTTCTCATGGGACGCGCTGAGGTCTTTCAACACGCTTATCAGCTGCTTGAAGAGCTTCCAGTTATCCTCCTTAAACCGGTGGGAGTTTTCTGACCAGAACGTATTGTCCGTGTGGGGGGGTGACCACACCAACAGCTTGGAGTCCAACTCGGCAACATATTCATCTAACGACGTCAGCTCGTGGTACTCCGATTCGAGGATACCCTGTAGTTGGGATAGATCGTCACGCAATTCATCATCACTGTATTTGCGCTCACTCAGTTGCTGTAGGATAGGCAAGCCGGAGCCCAGTAGCAGCAGGTTTTTTATGGTAGCTTTGCGGCCCTTGACCTGCGGGGCAACACAGTTCAGAAGGATAGCAATCGATAAACGGGTAATCTTTTCCTTGATCGTAACCTTTACGAGTTTAAACAGCTTGAGTAGCTCTGAGAGGTACACCTGGGCCATATCTGCAGCAATTGGCGGCTCAAAGCTGAGAAGCCAAATGGTCAGTAATGCATAGTACTGTGCCTGGATGCCAAGGTTGTTGCTATTTGTGGGGACTATCCGCGTGGAAGACCTACCGTCCAGCGCCCAGTCCATAATCTGGAATATTAAGGGCACAAACTCGGTGTTGTGCTTCCACACCAGTCTCCGGTAGCGCTTCACTGCCACCAACTCCTGCAGTAGCCGAATGCACACATATGCCAGCTCCATGCGCTCCAGGTTTCTCAGAACTCGCAAGTAGTTGGGGTTCGACACCAGCTCCTCCACAAGCTGCTCATCCTGCAGCCCCTCTTGAATCAGCAGGGAGACGACATTAAAAGACGACAGCAGCACGAACTGGTCGTCTGCCGCGTTGTCCGTCAACGTCGACTCGTACAGCTTCCGCACAAGCTCCGGACCCTGCTTGAAGTACCGCAGCACCTCGTGCACATACTTGTCGCTGGTGATCAGCTCCGACAAAAGGTTCAGCACCGCCCGCTTCGCGTCCAGGTTGTTCGACGTCGCCAGCAGGTGCACCAGCGCCTGTACCCCCTGTTCCAACGGCACATCCAGCGAGCTACCGTGTGTGTGCTTCAGCAGCGTCGACTCAAGCTTCTTGGCAATCCCCGCGTCAAACTCACTTAGCTCTGCCGACCGCACCAGCGCGTCCCACGCCACATGCCTCGCGCTAATCGTATTGCGGATATCGGTGAAGTGCGTGCTATCAAGCAAAATCTTTTGAACCCCCTGAGCCACAGCCATAGTCACAACTAAGATCTCGGTTCCACGCCGCCTGACTACTCACTTTGAGACCTGTAGCGCTTGTCAATATCTGGTGTGGCCTGGCTGGGACTCCCCTTTACATAGCGGAAATTTTCAACATATGCTGGTTGTAGAAAGGGCGGGTAACAGATATAAGAACAGCTTGAGTCATGAACTTATATGATTACATACAGTTATACAAGCGTCTGCGATGGTCCGCTGGGCCAGCGGCCAATGCGCATCGCGCTCGCCCGCCCGGAAATTGGTGGCTACTCAAATAGAACGCGAACACCGTGCGCACCGCGCGGGAGGGTCAGGCGAAGGCATGTTTTATAGTACACAAAATCTTTTACATTTAAACCTCAAGAAGATTCACGCTCGAACTCCTTGGACATGTCTGCGTTCTCGATGGCACCACAGATAGTCTCGCATATTATGCCAGTAACCAAGTAGGGGTCGATGTTGGAGGCCGGGCGACGGTCCTCGAAGTAGCCGAAGCCCTCCTTGCTGACAGAGCGCGGGATGCGGATGGACGCGCCGCGGTTGGCCACGCCGGATGAGAAGGTGGCCATGGAGGCGGTCTCGTGCCTGCCGGTGAGGCGGAGCTCGTTGTCGGAACCGTAGAGCTTGATGTGCTCCTTGTGGCGCTTGGACAACTTGTCGATGGCCTCCTCGATGTGGCGCATGCCGCCCGCCTGCCGCATTTCCTTCGTCGACACGTTGGTGTGGCAGCCCGCGCCGTTCCAATCGCCCTTCAAAGGCTTAGGGTGGAAAGATACCTTCACGCCGAACTCCTCGGCCACCCTGTGTAGCAAGTAGCGGCCTACCCATAGCTCGTCACCCATGGTGATGCCCGTGCAAGGCCCAACCTGGAACTCCCACTGCGAGGGCATGACCTCGGCGTTGATGCCGGAGATGTGGAGGCCCGCGTAGAGGCACGCACGGTAGTGCGCCTCG